AACTGTAGGAAAAATGTTGGCCCTAGGTGACATTAAGGCCATATGGGCTCGAAGCTTTGGAGCCCCAGCCGTGGAAAACCTTTTCAGACACAGTGGCAATGAATGGATGCTAGAACCCAGAGCAGATGGAACCGAGTTCAACGCATATCGTACCATGCTGTGGACAGTGTTGCGAGGCGAATACCCTACGAGAGTAGATCCAAAGGCTCTCAGGGGGGAGACACTATTAGGGACTGAAAACCCTGCTGCATACATTACCAGACAGCTGAAGCGCTGGAAGCAGGAAACTGAGGAGGAGATTGAAAAAAGTCCAGTTTTGATGACACTGTTCAGAAATGCCATTGTGGAAGCTATGTCAGGCCCAGTCCAGAGTAGACTGGAAGAGGTGGTAGGCCTGTCATCAATGCCACATCAACAATTTTGTGACAATGTTGTACATGCCATAGAAAAGTATCGAAGGAACGAAGAAAAAGTAGACCAGATGGAGTGTAAACTGACACAATTACAATTAAGCGAGCTGCAAGGAAAGAACAAAAGGTCACAAGTAATGGTGCAAAAAGATGTCCAAGAAAACCAAATACCACAGACAACCGAACATCTACCTGTACAAGAGCCAGTACCAATGGAACAGCCACCAATAGCTGTCAATGTGTTTTAACAATTTCGTGGGCAGAGGGGGCTGGGGCAGGCCAATGCATAGTGAAACCAGAAGTCCGGCGGGCCCCTTGGGGAGACTCAATTTTGGATACTAGGGATGCTCAGAGAATCCTACATTGGAGGGTCAGTTTCCAATGTTAGAAGTGGAAGCTAATGAAAAACTTAGGTTGCAGGTTCAAATTGAAGGTAAACAAATACCAATGTTGGTGGACATTGGAGCCACTCATGTGTGTGAGTCCAAAGTATGCCAAGCACCTACCCATGTTGAATAGATTTGTTGAGACAGTAAGATTCTAGGGACAAAAGCAACTAATTTAAATGACAGCTTAAAATTATGAAATCCTGTATTGAAAGGTGACAAGTCTAAATACAGGTTGGTATGATCTAAGAGTTATAAATGACAAAGTGAAAGACAAATTAGGGTTAGAAAATACCAGACCCTTTTACTCTACTCACCAATGTGTCTCCAAATGCCAAATTTTTATTGTTGTTGATTTGTGTTCTACATTCCTTTGCGTTCCTTTAGATTAATATTTTCAATATTTATTTGCATTCACATACAGAGGAAAACAATACACCTACACCAGAATTCTACAAGGTTTTTGTTACTCACCATATGGGTTCAATTAAGCTCTAAGACCAATTTGGTGCTAATGGTGACGTTAGAGCCTGTGATTAGCCCAGAAGATATAATTTTAATTAAAAAGATGCAACTAAAAATGAGTAAAAGTGAGTGCAACAATCAGTGAACAAGGGTTATGGAGGTTGAAAGATGGTCTGATAAGTGGCTCTAGTAACGTTGTTGTCAATTCTGATTTCTGAGATGCACAGTGTAGATCACTGTGCCAGGGGGGAGGTGATGAAGAAGATTGGACAACAGAGGTACTGGTCGCCCTATATGGAAGCAATGGTGGATGAAGTGTTGAGCCAATGTGAAATATGTGAGAGAATGCTTTAGGAGTAAAGTGAGAGAATGAATGGAACCCTGAAGGCTAAGCTAAACAAAATCTGTGCTGCTACTAAATTAAACTGGGTAAAAGCTTTGCCACTACCACTTATGAGCTATTGCATGCAAACGCATAGAATCACGCATCTAACACAGCATGAAATGCTAACGGGTCGACCCATGCCAGCACTACAGTTAAGAGGTCCCTTTAAAGGGCCTCCGCTTGAACAACTGCAAAACGAGTTAAAAGCATACATGAAGTATCTAACTATGATCTATAGAACTGTCTATGTGCAGGAAAAAGTCCAGAGGACAACATGGAGCAGAAGGTGGAACGGCCGGTGAAACCAGGGGACCTGGTATACATCAAAGTGTTACAAAGGAAGTGGCATCAACTACGATGCACGGCGGGCAGTGGAAGACAAAAAACTACGAATGACTCAGCTGGAGTTAAATGACTAAGTGTTTAAACTTTTACTTTTCTTTCCGTCAATTTGGACTATACAAGGAGAACCTGTTTTTTGTTTTTGTTTTTTCACACTGAAATATGGCACGAATGGATGGAAAATGGACAATGGAAGAGTTGATGATTTCAAGAACTGTTGATGGACAATGCCATTACACTCATATACATCAATTTTTCCATATGGTCCCACAATATTCATATTCCTTCACACTCATACATTCATTTATATACATTAACAATGCTTTATAACAGTTTTCTTACCTTGTTTTGTCATATTATTACACTGTAATAATTTATTTTATATTATGTATTCATGAAAATGTGATATTTCAGTGTTGAATGGGTTAGAGTTATTGAAAGGTTACGGAAGTGGATTGAATGCTGGTTGAATGGGTTAGATTGAAGTGGTGATGTGGATGTTAGTACTGAAGGTCATGTGTTAAGTGGAAATAATCAAAGTGGAAGTGTTTAAGGTCAGAAGATCATTTTGAAGTTATCAAAAAGTTTTACCATATCATCACACTATATCATTTTAAAGGTCATCAAAAGGTTTTGTTATATCGGTTGTTACATATGTCATATATGTTTTGTTCTGTTTTCTTTGTTCTTCAATCTGTACGTTCTTTCACTCTTTCTTAAGAAGATCCAGAAATTGATCCAGTACTGTATTCCGAAGCTTGCGTTAGCCCCATTTTTATCCAGTTTCTAATTTTTACCTCTACCTCTGGCATCTTTTGAAAGTCAGTAGTATGTCAGTGAGATAATGTTGGAAATCCGACGTCGTTTTGTTGCGGTTAGCAAAGCTGAGCAGCACGCTAAATGCTTTGCCTTGTTGGAAACCTGTGGTTCCTAAGCCACATGTGGCTCTGTATGGATCAGACCTAGCCTGGCTGTTATTGCAGATCAGTAATATTGTCACGATGACAGTCGGGACTGTCATTTCCTGTGTTTTCCTGTGTTTTCTTGTGTTGTGTACTCTCTCTCTCTGTGTAGGGGGCGTGGCACATCTCTCTGACTCTGCCGGACTAATCGCCGTGGCACACCTGCCGTTCCTCAGCACCTGCCACCAATCA